GTTTATCCAACAACATATTGTTTAATTCTCAAAGTCTTTGATATATCAGGAACTTTGTGGCAAAATTTGCATGCAAACCATAAATTTGGTATGCACCTTAACTATCCATTGCCCACAAATTCACATTCGAGTTCAGGGCTCTCACACGCCATTTTGGGACTGGGGCCTGGGGCCCTTAGAATTGGGAAAAATAGCAGTGTTTTCCTTAGAATTGGGAAAACCTGGAGTCTAAATTGGGGAAAAAAGATACTATTTTGCATTGGGAATGGGGCCGAATATCGGCCCATAATCTGGCAGATCGAGAGCCCTGGAGTTATCTGAATTTGTGCTACTGGCAAAAAGGGAAACATTGAATCATTGAAAGAGATTATATTCTAACAAATAGTATTTCATAAATGCAACATTGAATGTTTCATTTAATAATTTTTACATAAAATTACATCACATGTGGTGCAACTTTTTAATCCGTCAATACACATGTAAACACATAAAACATGAAGCCTTGCTTGTTCTCTCAGCTTATCAATTCTGGTAAACGTATACTCAATGATCCTGACGAAACAGGTATGCATACCCAGGAATGAAACAGGATTTCCCTATGTAAATATTTCAGGGATATTGTGACAGCTAATTTGCAAATATAAGTGCACAAATGAAGAAAATAAAGTGGCTTAATTGATTAAAGTAATCAGTAATCACTTATTTTGAATGTTTTCTCTCTCATTCTTCTATGTAATACATATACCAATAGATTTTCCAATTCATGGACACACTATTGAAACAGTTGCAAAAATATTTTGTTGCTCCATTCATTTTTAATGTATCTCTTATAACTATTCAAATTATTGTAAGCGTTAAAATGTCCTTCTGGTGGTCATATTGGACAGGTGAAAATGGTGGAGACACCCCCTGACCAGTTTAAATTAAAATGTGAAAATATAGCACATTTGTCATGTGATCATTTTGAAAGCGAGGCTGCAAAAACAAAAATATCAGTTGTCCAACAACATCTGCACTGCATCTTTGTTTGTTTTACGATGGCAATTCTCTTCCATAAACTGCTGCCACCTCTCTTACTGTTTCCCTAATTGTGACATGTGGGTTTTGTCTCGCCCCTTTTTGACTCTCTCCTCTTTTTCTCTAATGTAGAGACCGTCTTTTGTCCTAAACGTGTCTCCATGAGAATCACCACTTTTGTTTGTTTACAGTGTATTATGCAGGTGCAAATCTATTGTGATGTCATCAGAGCAGCATGAATGTTTGTACACAAATTTCGCTAGACCTAAATTGAAATTCCTCAAATTAATAGCGAAAGTTGATTTTTGTGGGAAATAGAGTCATGTGATTTTCATAAGGATATAAGATGTACAATTTTCTCAAAAAGCATCTTATGAAATCCTAACTTTGGTGGAATAACCCTTTCAACAATATCTATTTTATTTTGTTCTAACTAACCTGAAGAGCTTTTCTATCACACCAGGAGATGATTTCAAATGGACTACCTAAAATGTCACCATACTGGAAATACATTTCAGTATAAAGTATTGGTGTAGAATTTGAGTACGTTTTTCATCTTTAAGTATAAATCACATTTTTATTACAGGTGCACTATATAAACACATGAACACTTCACTACATTGTAGTTTTTTTACCTATCTAAACATCATTTTTCCAAAGTTGTATAAACATGAACATAATCACAGAATTTGAATACTATTTCATCAGCTGTTTTAGAGGTCATCTCATACTAGTAAGTGGTGGCTTCCTCAATTAATATCTTGTTTTCTAGTGCAATGGTCGCAAAGTGTTACAAGATACTTAACATACATTAAAAAAAACATTGATAAATTCCACAGAAACCATATGCCATGATATACATCTTTTAGAGTAGAATATATACTAATCAGACTGACTCTATGACATAAAACTTTACTTCCAAAACAATTTCTGCAACAATGCAAATATCTGTAAATTTTTTACATTGACCAAAGGTACAAAGATTGGGGAATGTTTTGCTAACTGCTGCAGTGAAGAAATGGACCATTTTGACAGCAGAAGTGTAATGGTTAGGGCAATATTTGTGGGAGAATCGATCAGACTTGTTATAGTAATGTGCAATTTAACCAGCATCAGAAATTGGGAAGAAATCCAGTGGATCTACCATTCTTCAGATGCCATGATATTGTCACCAAGCTAATATGCCAGTGCACTTATCAGCAGAACTGTGCTGCTGCAGAGTAATGTGTTTTAGGTTAACAATCCAAACTTACTGATTTGTCACCAATTGATAAAGTTTGGATATGTTACTTTAGCAAATGCATATGAACATCAAAATCAGTCTTACAGGAGCTTGTCCGAGCCGTGAATGAAACAACAGCTTTCCTTGAATTATCTGCTGCTTCACAAGTCCCATCAGCAACACAGCAATGCTGTTTAGTTTTTATATTACCCTGTACCTTATTGGTCACACCTGCTGTTATGGTGTTACATTTGATAATGACCCCAACGTCCTTTAACATTTATAAATCAAACTGAACTTAAAAGACTTTTAATTAACGATGCAGCATTTTTATCCAAATTGATCAATTACTTTATTGGTATGTGACTGATAAAGGCTTTATAGGGAAATAATTAATTAATTACAAATTTAAATAGTGGTGCCTTTTTTTATTAGTATAAAAATTAAAGAGTTGGTTAAGTCAAATAAGTATGAAGTTGAAACACAACAACTTCCTTTAAGGAAAGGAACAAAGGGACATAATTTTGTAAATAAATTTTGTGATACAATAAAAGTTCTCTGTCCAACTGTATGTAAATTTACCAGAACGTGAAATTAAGTAAGCACAGGTAAAATAGCAAGGAAAATTGCTGTGCAGTAATGCGTAACAAATAGGTCCATCATTAAATATCGATAGCTAGTGCAGCAGTGCATGTCAAAATTATTCGTATTACTCTGATAGCTATCCTCATACATCCTTCTACAGGTATCCCTGGGAAAGTGGTTTTTGATAACTGATTCATATTTTTTAAACCTGAGCGGTTGCATACCGCATAATGAGACTAGATGCATTCTTTTCATCTCTAACAAACCATACAGTGTAAGGTGATAGGGAGTGACGTAAACTCACCTTGTTAGCCCTTTAGCCTATCTCTTCATTGTTCCCTGTATAGTATACCCATAATTGTAGAAGTGAGCATTTCTTGGTACCAGGGATTCCCTGGCTCAATATTGATGTCAGTCTGTTATTATACATTAAAATAGACACAAGGATTATTTTCCTACGAAAGTGATGTGTGAATGTTTTGCTTGAAAATCAGCTTGCTATCAATATCATGGTTATTTCAACATTGAATATTCGGAGAGAATGAGGAAAATTTGGAAGTATGACAGGGTTTCCCATAATTTTGTTAGTAGTAGCCTGTGAAGTGAAAGTAGGAGGCTGGCAAAGCAAGCCGACCCGAGCCACAATGCGGCGAGGTAGAGGGTGGCCTGCCGTGTACGTGTAGTCGTGTATGGAACATTATTACTGAACTGGATTGGTGTAGGCGGCCAAATGATCGAAGAAGCTGGTCAAATTGGCCGGCGACCCGCTCTTATGGAAAACCCTGGTATAATATGAAGCCTAGACTTCAATATAGAAAACTCAAGCTCAAGTGTCAAAGAAGGAATAAGAAACAACAAATTAGAAATAAGGAGAGGGGGTGGGGGGTGGGGGGGTGGGGGGAGGGGGACCTGCTATGAAGTAAGAAAGAGTGGAAATTTTTTTATTTATTTATTTTGTACATTCTGAATGAAATAGTTTCAGATGTAGGATACTAAAACCATTTTTATTTGAGGTATTTTCACGCTTTCAGTAACTAGAGTACTTACTACTGTGTAGGTTAATTTTAATGTGTTATCTTCTGAATAGGGAAACAGTTTCTGGACATTGTATGCTTTTCCAGAAAAACAGGATGAGGATACTTTATGATCTGTGACAGGGAACTTTTAAAAAGCATGCTGTCGACTGTGTGAAATATGTGAAAAATATAATAGCAATTAATGTTATTAATGTAAATGTAAAACAAAATTGGTCTTCTTCTCCATCTGTATTAATGATTAATGATTAAATTAGTACTTAGTGATTATCTCCCCTTTTACAGATGTGCTACCACAGTCCAATGCTTACAGCCCTTTTCCTGGTCATTTAATCATGTAACCCATGAAAGGGAATTAAGTTGATAGTGGACTATTGCAGCAATGGATTTTATTACCCACGCCATAGTGAAACGTGTAAGGTATCAATATTAACGTATATTCTTTGTTTAGGATTAAATGAGTTAACAAATGCAATTAATCAGTTAAATAAACATCTCTTACCATAGGCTGTCTGTGTACATTGGAGCAAATGTGTTCACTGGTCAACAGTAAAAGCTAGATAATTATTGTACATATGACAAATGCATATGTATGAAAAATAGACATCTCTCAGTCCATGTTCCATAAATATATTTCCAGTCTGACATAAGAAAAAAACGACAATTCAGTGTTGGATTTTCTCTTACACTTAAGTCCAGCAATACATCTTTTTTTTTTTGCAAATAATTTACACTTTGATATTGCCATGGTGAGAGAGTCAGTGCTATTATAATTTGAACATGAAGTAGTTAGTTCCCATGCTCTATCAATTAGACTTTAATTCCTTTATTAAACAAGTCATTGCCTAAGTTTGCCGGTTTCCACATATTTTGATAAAACCTTGTCAATGGTGGAAGGGAGGTAACTCCTGCCGCTGATAACGCACATCATCATGTGGATTGGTAATTAGATAATTATCGACATATCGGAGATATCAGAATTTCATAACATACACAATTATATCATAATTCGCCTAACGATTTAATTATGCAACATATAACGCATGACAGCGAGTCTTTAAACCATGTTCGTACTGAGTTTAAGCTAGCTTTGGGCTTCACATGGCACACGGGAAGTAGAACTTGATCTCGACAACACTTACCCGGAATTACTGGCGTCTGTTGCCTTGATGCTATGGATTCGCAGTTTGTTTGCGATATCCTTGAGAGTTTGAAGAGTTCCAGCGTCAGGTCTATGGTATTGGCTCATCTTGAGGATGTGTTAAGCACCGTCTACTGCACGCACGTTCCGTCGTCAGCCGGCTCAGACAACCTTGACCTTTTTACTTGTGGGAAGCCGACTCGAAGGGCGATAACTAGCACAGACTCGGCAGGTGCGCGAAAAAATACTGAAGAGTTATCGCGCCTTACACTTCAATACATATACAACGTACACCAAAATATTACAATATTATTATGTAGAGTCACTTCAAACAACTATACATTCAAGAACAGATTTGACAATGCGTGGAAAAAAAGCTGATGTACACAGAAATCGAAACAGTGTCACCAGGAAGTGAGAGATCAACCGTGGAAACAGATATTGAGTTCGGTGAAGAGGAACAGTTCCTGTACTGGAAACTAACTATGATACAGCAGGAACGTATAACACACACACACACACACACACACACACACACACACACACACACACACACACACACACACACACACACACACACACACGCACACACACACACACACATATATAAATAGCTATATCTTAGTCCGGGATTTAAAAGAAAATATATTTGAATAAAAAGTATTACAAATAAATAAATAAACAACATATAAAATAGATCTAAAGCTGTCCACCCTTTTGTGAAAAAAAAACTCCCATGCCCTGAGATAGACAGAATAGGATAGAAAAGGATATTGAGCAGAAAAAAATAAAAAGAAAATAATGTGAAACGGGAAAAAAAACGTGAAAACAATTTGTCTTAATTTATTTCTTTTGATATCTGTAAAAGAAAGGATGCATTGTTTTCCAATCCCTTCTTACTTCTCAACACTAATGTAACATATGTGTAATGTCACTTCAGAAAATCCAATAAATCTTTACTGTAACTATGAACTGTACACTAACTGTAGGAATAATGACAATTAGATCCAAACAAGAGTCAGGTAAATACAGTTTGTTAAAAAGGAAAATCAAAAGGATTATACTGAGCTTATAACGATGTGAATGGCGCGAAGCTCACGGGATGAATTTAGGAATTAATAAAGAGTAATTTTAAAACGGAAATGTTAAGATATTGACAATGGTAAATATGTAACATAGTGTTAAATACGTCACTCAGCCGACGGAGCATGTTTCTTTGGCACATTTGGTGGATCCGGGTACGATTCCTGTGCGGGGCACTCGAAAAGAATGTATTTGATTTTTCCTGTTCTTTCACAAATATCGAATACAGGAACGACAAAAAAAATACAGACGGACATAGAAGATTATCAAAGAGGCAAGTATTGAAGACAAAAAGAAATAGGAATTAGAGAAGACATCTGAAATAAGACAGGCAGCGAAGGCAACAGAAACGAGGAAAACATTGAAGATCGTCAAACAGACAGACATTGGGGACAACAGAAACTAGGAAAACATTGAAAATCGTCAAACAGACAGACATTGGGGACAACAGAAACGAGGAAAACATTGAAAATCGTCAAACAGACAGACATTGGGCACAACAGAAACGAGGAAAACATTGAAGATCGTCAAACAGACAGACATTGGGGACAACAGAAACTAGGAAAACATTGAAGATCGTCAAACAGACAGACATTGAGGACAACAGAAACGAGGAAAACATTGAAGATTGTCAAACAGACAGACATTGGGGACAACAGAAACTAGGAAAACATTGAAAATCGTCAAACAGACAGACATTGGGGACAACAGAAACTAGGGAAACTTGGAAGATCGTCAAACAGACAGACATTGGGCACAACAGAAACAACGAAGGCAACAGGAAATAGGAAAACAAAGAAGATTAACAAAGACAGCAGGTCAAATAGGAGGACGTCATAAACACCAGGAAACAGGCGTTTTTTTCACTTGTCATAATTCAAATCAGACTGTGAGTTTTTCTCAAAATGAATTGATAAATATATTTTTACAATGTAATTTATCTGGTACCATCAAAGATAAATGAATCAATGCAATTAATTATTCTATATTTTGTAACGTACATATATTGTGTCATTATAACACTATAAAATACCTTTTAAATTAATTATTCTGGCCTGTATAATTAACGGCATTTAATGTCAATTATAATACCATCAGACTTATATAATGCAGTTATTGATTATCAATTTTATGATTTTTTTTCATATAGTAATCGTGTTTGCTATAACAACATTTTCTTTTCATTAGAACAAAGCACAAGTGGACAATTGGGGGCGGAGGGGGGTGGGGGTATTAAATCATGATAAATAATTCAAAACATAATTTAAAAACCGGTTTGGGGCTGCTTCCGGTGTAATTTTATCGTATTTTAATTCCCGGAAGTTCAAAATTTCTCACTTCAGTCGCGAACATAAAACAAAGACCAAGAGTTTATATAAAGATTATTTCTTACGATAAAACCTAATCATAGCGGCGATCAACTAAAACATTTTCTGAGACTCTGCGGAGATGGTATCAGTCCTAAATATTTAGGTCGCAAATACTTGTTTTAACATTTTACAGCAGTCTTTATATTTGAAACGACTTATCAAAAGTGTACCTTATTATAACAGATCTATTGGTAAGGATATAAAAACGGAAAATAAACATAAAGATGACTTTACACGTAAGTATGTGTGTCCCTATGTGACATCTGTCATCTACGTCCCTGATGACATACTTCTATACAGAACTTCAGTATAATTCACTACACAAAACAATTGTGGCATAGTAAGTAGCATTGACGAAATTTCTGTTCCTATATGCGAATAATATACCACGCGGTATGCTAAATTATTCAACCTGAAAACATCTATTTTTTATCAGAAGTAGTGTAAAATAGAATATTTTTTATTGGGACTTAAGTGTATACAGTAGTGTTAACGAATTCAATAGTTATACTTGCCAACTTTCCTCCATTTGAAGGCAATAACACTATCATATGGAGATTATATTCCTCAGCAAGACCTGTCGAGTGTATCTCTACAATATCGATACAGTATCAAAAAGTAGCAAGAGTTTTACAATATAATGATTAATAATAATAATTAAAAAAAATATATTGATAGGGGAAGGGGGGAAATGGGAAGAAACATTTGATTTTGATACTGATACGTGGAACATGATTGACCTGTATATTTTTCCAGTAGCACAACATACAAAATCACATTGTGGATATAGTACAGAGTAAATAAACACATTCTTACTACATAAGTCCATCAATTTAGATTCGAGATAATAGAAAGTCGACGCTTTGTTCACTAGGTTGTTGTGACGTTACAACGATTGAACCTGCCGCGAGTGGGAATAAAAAAAAACAACAACACACAATTAACTTTGTACTATGTTGTCTGCTTATATCATGCAGATACAATAAAAAAATACTTTTTGGAAATCATCATATCGTAATGAAAAATGACTAATTAGCAGAATTGAATTGAAATTATTATAACAATTAAATGATGTCTTAACAAATCTAGATTCCTGCAGACATCTCTATTTACTGGAGCTTCAATTAACATTATCAAACAGAATAGTACATATTCAAAATTATAACATGTGTACTGTGAAAATGATATATCAAAAGTTAAATTTCAATTTGAATAGAAAAAATCTAATTACATGTAAACTATTACATATAAAGTATTATCATTCTAATTATTCTAATTACATGTAAAGTATGTTAACTATCATTCCAATTACATATAAACTATTACAATTCTAATTACATATAAAGTATTATCATTCTAATTACATGTAAAGTATTAATTACATGTTAACTATTACAATTCTAATTACATATAAGTATTACAATTCTAATTACATATATTATCTAATTCCAATTACATATAAAGTATTACATCATTCCAATTACATATAAAGTATTATCATTCTAATTACATATAAAGTGCATGCTCTCTTGCATTACATGGTTAGTAACGTATTTCATTAATTAAGTGATTTCAGCCCATTAGTTAAAAGTTCTTATTTTTTCAGTATCGGTCTAAGTTACTTTTAAATATATTAGAATATTAAACTTTTAAATTTTTGTTCCAGTGTGTCTGTTTACTGTAGTTGTAATTCTCTGTTATGGAAAAATAAAACAAACTCGTGTGGAAAAATACAAATCCATTCATGGATAAAGATGTAAGTCGACTACTGAATGGCTAACCAATATGGATGTGCTTTAATCAATATCTGATTTATTTTGTCCTATTGGTATTTAAACGGCTACTTCAAACGAAGACTAAGACCGTTTAAACATGTTCTTTCATCAAATAAATCCGTTTATAATCATGATTTGACGTACTTTTTTGGATGACCTACTTTTTTTCTACATACCGATTGCCACCCCAACTGCACTTATTAGCTCTCTGTCTTTATTTACCAAACAGGACGATAGCTTGGTAACTACTCGGGCCTTTCTCTAATTTTATTCAGTTATTTGTAATATTTTTGCAGGCTTTCTTCCTATATTTGTTCGTCTACATTCCGAGCATAACAGTGTTGAAAACATTGGTCACATGACCACACTACGAATCATGTGACTAAGATGGAATTTCAGACATGCAGACCTATGTCACACACGAGTGTATGGTTCTAAACAGTCTCTGACAATAGTCGCTGGATATATTGTACCGGCATTTCACCATAATAAGTAAGTTTTATCTCTGTCTGTGAACATTTTCATACAAACAGTGTCGTCTGTTCATCCGACTTGATCGCGCTAACTGGCGCGTGCTGTGTCGTAGTTTATTGACTCCGATCGATTGCCTACACACCATGTTGTCATTGTTTCAGATGTGAAACCAGCCTCCCATGAGCACAGCCATGGAAACCCCATTGGACGTCTTATCGAGAGCAGCGTCCATGGTAGAGACAAACGAGACGAAAGGTCAGTTATGTTATTATTTCAAAATTTTATTAAACATATAAAAAATAACAGTAAATTTGATCGGCGAGTAGCATTAACACGTCGTCCGCTGGCCTATGTGCTCTGTGTATGCAAGTGGCCGCCAGTGTTACGATGCTGGTCTTGATAAATTATGCTGATAACGTGGCCTAAAGTCACCATATAAGTGTCTTATATCCCTGGTTGTATTTAGAC